ATGTTATCTACGGTTGTCCTCCCCTTTCGAAAACCGCTTTGATAAGGTGATATAATATTATTTTTTTCCAAGAAGTAGACTAGGCGGCTGTTTACCATCTTTTCAAACAGTTCGCAGAGGCAACTCGTAAGGGCAATTGGCCGATAGTTGGAGGGATTCCTTGGATCTTTCCCTGGCTTAGCAATAGGAATGACAATAGCTCTCCTCCATGCACTGGGGAAAGGCATGCTCCTTCCACACCCTATTGTAAAGAGTGAGAGAAGGGCATTCAGTGACTTATAGGACAGATGCTTTGGCATTTCGTAATTCATGCCATCAAGAACCCGGACAAGACCTATGTGTCTGCAATAAAGCACTTCCTTTAATTCAAGCATAGTAAATGTCTACTATTGTAAGGCTCAGATTTGGAAGAGTTGAATGCGATGGGATTTATTTCAGAGTGCTGCTTCATAGAAAGAATGCAGGTGTATAGTTTCTGCTGGAAGAAACGGAAGCAAATGTCTCACCAATAGTATTCGCAATTTCTTCTATGGAGCTAATCACTCGGCCATCTTTTTCCAAAAAGGAAAGTGAGTGGTCTTTATATATACCGCATGCTTTTCGAACTCTTTCCCAAACCCGCTTACTAGGCATGGAGGATGTTATTGACGACACATATGAAATCCAGGAATCCCTCTGGCTCTGCCTTCTTACTTTTCGTGCACTTGCTTTGGCTCTTTTAAATGCTATGAGGTTTCGCAGAGTAGGATATCTACGAAAAATACCCCATGCTTTTTTCTGTTTTTTCAGTGCTTCATGACAGTCACGATTCCACCATGGTTTTGAATATTTTAGTAGTTTTCCTGATGTTCTAGGAATGGAGAGCATAGCTGCCTGAATAATAGTATTAGTAACAGCTTCAACAGCGTCATCGATATGCCCATCTTTTACCATTTGATCTCTGAGCTCTGCAATGGAAGAGAGAGTTCCCAGTCTGCCCTGTCCAGTATAAACCGAGGGAGTCTCGTCATGGGATTTGCTCCTCTTCGTGCAAGAGACACAAGAATGGGATAATGATCACTGTTGTAAAGATCTTTTCCCACATTAAAAGTGCAAAAAGGCAACAGAGATGGTGAACAGATGGCAAGGTCGAGAGCATGGAATGTCTTTGAAGGCTCATGGAAGTAAGTATCCTGCCCGTTATTCAGGAGACAAAGGCTATGATCTTCGATCATCTGCTCAATTTGTCTTCCTCGGCAATTTGTATCTTTACTACCCCAGAGCGGACTATGGCCATTAAAATCTCCTATTATGATGAAAGGCTCAGGCAGCTGCTCTAAAAGACCATTTTAAATCTTGCTGATCAATATGCTCATTTGGAGGCAAATACAGAGAAACGACTGTAACACAATATCAAATTTGTTTGAGTAGCGACAACTTGGAGGGATGTCGTCAAAGAAAGCACATTTGAGGGATAATCCAGTGAGGTGAGGAGACCTACACCTCCACTGGCACGCTCACCTGCAATGTTATCGTTCCTGACGAAAGAAAACCTTCGAAGTTTTGCCTGTTGTTCTGGTTTTAGATTTGTTTCCTGTATTGCGAAGCATACAGGATGATAAGCATTAATTATGGCTTTGATGTCAAGCAAATTTCGGTTGAAACCGCGACAGTTCCATGACATGAGGGTGGCCATTATGAATGGCTTTTGTTTTTTCTGTGCTGTTCTTTTGTTTTTCGTGGAAGTAGATGCCTGGGAACTTCTAGACCTTCTTCTAATTCCATAAAGTCTGAATCCGCAGATTCAGAAATCATCTCATCAAAAGAGCTATTGCTGTGACTTCTATTTTTATTGGATATTTTATGTGTAGTAGTTTTGGGCTTACTTTGAATAACTGTTTCTTTCTTTTGTACTATATGGGTTGCATTTTCTTTTTCTGTTGGATGTAGACGGTTGGGTTTTATTTGGTAGGGTCTGTGTGCCTACTGATGTTTGGGTGGCAACTGTACGAGATGATTTTACAGCACTGGCGTATGATGTATTTGGTCGAAGCTGTGTGCTCTGGACTAATCTTCTGGCTTCTGCATATGAGATGTTCCTCGTAACCTTTGCAGTCTGCACTTCTTTTTCCAATTTCCATTTTGGGCAGAGGCGTGAAAATGCTGGGTGCTCACCCTTGCAGTTTATACAAAGAGGCGCAGCGGTACAATTTTCAGAATCGTGGCCAATCTGTGAGCATCGGGCGCATGTGAGGTTACCACGACAAGACGTCTCAGAATGGCCGAAACGCTGGCATTGGAAACATCGCATAGGGTTTGGAATATAAGGTCTTACAGGAATATTTAGATATCCGGCCTTAATATTCTTAGGCAGATCAGGCGTGTTGAAGGTAAGGATCACGTGTTTCGTGTCTATCAACTTACCTTCTTTACGCATCTTGATCCGCCTTACACCGCAGACATTTTGTTCGGAGAGCTCAGAAGCGATCTCTTCTTCAGAAAGATACAGTAAGTCGAATTCTGAGATTACACCCCGACAATAGTTGAGTGACTTATGTGGTGTTACAGTGACATTCGCTTGCCCAAGTTTAGTTATCTGAAGTAAAGAAGCAGACTGGGTGGCTGAGGTTGTATCAATAAGCAAGTCTCCGGAGCGGAGACGCTTTATATTTCTCGGCTCACCAATACAGGACTGGATGTATTTGTTTATTACAAAAGGAGACATCTTATGCATTTCGCCAGAAGGACTAGAGATGACTAGGAAACGAGGACTATTGTTATGATTTTTTTCATTTGTATCTGTACGTGATTTTTTTGCAGTAGACTTTTCAGAACTAGGTCGAGTGAGTGGTTTAGCAGTAGACATTTCAGAAATAGGTTGAATGACTGGTTTAGCAGTAGATATTTCAGAACTAGGTTGAGAGACTGCCTTAGCAGTAGATGTTTCAGAACTAGGTTGAGTGACTGGTTTAGCTGTAGACGTTTCAGAACTAGATTGAATGACTGGAGTGACTTGAGTTACCTCGAAATCTTTAATTAAGTAGATATGAGAAGAAGCCATAGTGAAAGAATAAAGATTCGGGTCCGATGGCCCCGCCCACCACGGAGCCCAACAAGGGAACACAGATTCCTGTGTTAGGGCTAGCCGGACCTATACGCAAACTGAAGCCCCATAGTCGGCTTTCCCGAAAGCAGGTACTCCCGAGAGCTTGACCCCAAGCCACTGACACAAGGACTAGTGACCAGCCGATTGACACCCGTGAGGACGACTAAGGTGCCTCCCGTTTAGCTGAAGCAGAGGCCAAAGTAGTGTGTTGGGGACACACTACTTTGTACCTCGCCCCTCAACTACCAGGACCCTCCTTTCCAGCGACACGGGTCTCCACGCACGGCAAACACGTGGGCAGTTTTCTTGCCACTCGAAGACTAGAGACAAGGGCTGTTCCAGTCTCTCGTGACGAGCCCCAAACTCCGTAGAGAGAAATCACGAGGGAGAAGAGAAGGGAAAAAGTTCCAGCAAAGAGGAGAGGAGACGGAAAAGAGAATAGATCACTGGGCCTCCAGGATCGTGACACCCGTCTCACCAAGAAGATGATCCCCTGAAGGGCTAGGGTACCTCGGGATTGCCACACCCGTACTCACAAAAGTGAGCCCCCTGAGGGGACAGGTTAAAGAAGATTTTCTAAAGCTTCAAAATGAACATGTTATTATTAAAAATGCGTAAAATTGGCAAAGAAGATGCCAGCTAAAAACTTGCACAGGAAAACCAACAACTATCTGTAAAAAAATGTAACTTTGGACTACCCCTAAATGCTTTCTCACATTCCACTTAAGTAAGAATGATTAGCAGTGGATTATACTATTGTCCTATTTTTAGGACAGGCTGTATTTGATCACACTAATAAAAATTTGGCAAGGGTTTTTTTTTTTTTTTTTTTTTTTTTTTTTTAAATTATATATGTATACACAAACTTGGAGAAACACATTAATGAATTTATATATATATATATATAAGTATTAATTTTTTCAGTGCTTGGTATGATATGGGTTAAAGCACAATGATCTGCAGCAGAAATTTGGATTATTTTTGTTTGAATTTTACAATTTTTCTGCAAAGAATAAACCTACCTATCACAGTAGTTGTATGCTAACCTATTGTGAAGCCATATTTTATCCTAACTTGAGGAAAAAAAAAAAAAAAAAAAAAAAAAAAAGCAAGCTCTGGATCTTAGTATATTCATGCAGAATATAACATCATTTTTATGTTGTTTCTTTTGGAAACTGTTTCTTCACTTAAATGCAGAATGATTTAAATGATTAGCCTTAATTTTCAGTATGAATGCATGTAACCACGGATCTCTACACCTAAAAGCCTGTGATTTTGGGTTATGGAGATATATGAAGTTACTAAGTGCAGTCACTCAATGCTATCAGGGGCAATGATAATGCTCAATATTAGTTCTTTTATGGATGAAGTGCCATCTAACAGACATAACAGCAATCAACTAGTCAGTATATACAATTCTTTTTAAAAAACTTTTTATGCACTTTTATGGCAAATGTTATACAAGTTATAAATTTCCAAAAACATGAATTTTTTAAATGTTTACAAATTTTGGGCTAGCCTGCATATTTCCGGCCAATTCGGTGTATTTACTTTCAAAGAAACATGCTGCAAACAATGTAGTTTCACACCTTCACAAAGTATTTCAGTTATAGCCAGCAGCAAAACATCAAAAATTAGTCTGCAAATAAATTTTTGAATTATAGGAAAGACTTTAATTTTATTGTGAATAAATTTTTTTTGCTTTGCCTTGCATAAATTACTGGTTTTAATACATTATAAAAATACATTTCTATATGTAAGCAAGCATTTATGAAAGCTACTGCAAGCCATTCATAATTTTTATAAAACAATTCTTATCATTCAATATAATAAATTACTCAAAGTGGAAATATTTACTAATTCAACACAGTGTTCTAGTCAAAAAATAATGAACCACACTTTTCAAGATACTTACTGCAACATGTAACAGCTTGCGTATTGCTTTATTATTACCAGTGCCACAGTATGCCATCGCTACTGTATGCATTCCAGAACGCCTCAGAAGAGGGTCTTTATCCCTGCATAGGCTCTCTATGAGTGCATCGGCTTCTTCTAATCGCCCATACATTGTTAAAGATATGCCCAGGGCTAAACCTCTCAGGATTTTTTCATGCTGAGTTTCTTGAGCATACTGAAAAGAAGTAAAAGAACTTTTAATTTTAACATCACAATGTAGTAAATCACCTGATTTAGAATGTTGCATTTTTAAAAAGATTTGTATTTCTTCTTTTAATTGATAAAATCTTGTAAGAACACTTCCTCTAAATATCCATTTCAATTCTATCAAAAGTATATTGTAACAAGACCTTCATATGAAGAATGAAAAAACAGTTTCAAAAGTACGAGTTAAGAAAAATGTTTCTAATTTATAAGAACAATCAATAAACGGATCTCAAGATACTATCATATAGTTAATTTTAAGAAAATTTATCAAATGGGTACATACCATGCACATGATTATATAGACTAAATAAAAAATTTTAAATGTTAAAAAAAAATTTATGTCTATTTTAAAATGGCATAATTTACTTATGGAAAGAAAACATACAGTGATGCAATACCTGCAACAGAAGATTGAAATGAAATATGTGAACAATTTAAGTTAATTATCACAACCAACAGTAAATAGATAATAGTGTTTGTACATAAGTATTTTTAAGGACCATCCATGAAAACAATTAAGGACCTATCAAGCAAATGGGAACTGAATAAACCCCACAATTATCTACACCCACATATCACTTTTGTAATTTGTAAGAATAAAATAAATCTGTACGTAGAATGCATAAATTAAACATAACCTAATAGTATATAACAAATTCAAAACTAAAATTATCTTCATAAATTCTTTCAAATAATTAGGAATAATATAAATTAATAAAATCAAATAATTTTTCTTTTATGTCTCATTCTATCCCGTACTCACACAGTCCAGAGGTATATGCAAATTTTATGTCAAGTGGCATAAGTTAAATTGTGAAGCAAAATAATTATCAGAATGACTTGTAACAGAAGTCTGGCTGTGGCACTGCAGCTGCTTGCTTAGAGACAGAGAGCTGCTGATAAGAACAGGTACAGTTGATTAAACACTGAAAGTTAGCCGCATTTTGTCTGACCCTGTTAGTGTCGTAGTCTCTTGCAAATCTGGTGGAGCTGTAACCCAGTTAATACATAGTATTTAATATAAAGTCCAATAAGATGCTGAAGCACCAGAGAAGGTAGGTTGTTTTGTATCATTTTCAGTCTCATTAGCTGTAAGGAATAAAGTTTTATGTTAATTTTTACATTTTTGTGTTGCATCCACAATAAAGACCCTTTCAAGAAAGAGCATCTTTGTTTAAGACGTTGCCTCGGAATAGGTGGAAGTCAGAAGCAATCGTCCCACAGGATGCGGCTTTTGCATTGCTAAACCTAACTTCAGAAAAAAAAAAAAAAATATTTCTTCAAAAAGTTTAGTCCTAACATCTTAATGTTGGTACTATTTTAGATTATTACTTAAGCTATCATTTATGCTAAAATTAGCATTTAATAATATTTTTCCTTATGTGAATTTTAGAAAAAAAAATAGTTCATTTTGAGAAATAATTTTCAAATTATTCCAAAGTTTTAACTGACAAAATACATTAATAAACTAAATAATTAATTTTAAAAAATTAAATTATTAACTGACAAAATACATTAATAAACTAAATAATTAATTTAAAAAAATTAAATTATTAACTGACAAAATACATTAATAAACTAAAAAATTAATTTAAAAAATATCTACAAAAAGGAACAAAATCCTTCACAGGAAGTCAAAGGCAGACCTCCAGTGAGCCCAGTCTCTGACAAAATGCCGATATCAGAATCACTAGAAATACTGCTTTCTAACATTTTAGAATATGAATCATCACTCTCATCTGTGTCACTAACTGGATCACTGGCCATGCAATTATATAATAGAGAAAACAAAAATGTGTTAATATTCTTAAATATAATTTTAATATATTATCATTATTTTTGTGATATTTATCAATGCAAGATAAGTAAAATGTTTGTTAAAAAATTCCTCAAGATTTTGCAAATGCCCGAATAAAAAAGTTTCTATACAAACTGATCTTTAAATCGACAAAATATTGATATTTAAGACACAATAACACGCCGAATAAATACTAATTCAGAAGTCAAACAACAAAAATCAGCGTTATTTTTTGTTGTTTTACTTAAAATGTTGATATGTCACTAAATTTAGTGACACATAACAAAAGAACTCATATTCCACAAAGGGAAAATTTGTTTTTGATAGTTTATGAAATCCTTATTCACAAAAAAGAAATTATTTCAAAACATTTTTGTTTCAATCAAGGCAGACCCTCATGCTTAAAGCTGAGTATCCACCTTTTACATTAGAAGGTGTGCGGTTTCCTTTAGTTCGATTAATCAATTATTAAAATTTTTGTTATCTTTTCTGAACTCCTCAACTTCCCCTCACATTTCCTCACCAGGATGCAAATTTAAAGAGAAGTGAGTATTTATACGGGTGAATCTTGGAGTTTATTCATAGTTTGTTTTCATTAGCCAGCACATGTTATGAGTTTGTCCTTGCTGTTACGCCTTTCTGGCCATTTAAATAATTATCATGTCAGTAGGTTGTCGAGACAACCCAGTTAGCCCTAACTTAAAGTGCTAGTCGTGCACTACTCTTTTGCCTTGAATTTATTGCGTAACGATTCTTAAGTTCCACCACACATTGTCACTGTTACCGTAAGCACGAAGTACGTGCCTTTCTGTTCATAGTTGATAATAATAAAGGGTTATTTTTATCTTCTTATGTATTAGTAACATTTACGCTTGTGTGAGAAGTTGTTAGGTTCCTTAGTAGGATCTCGAAGAGTTTACATGACCAAAGAGAGTATGATCCTACAAAAGTAGGAAAGAATTCAAATGCTAACCCACCAAATACATATTTGCCAGAGCATCGCCAAAAAACACTCTTCCAAAATGTTAATTCACTCTCAAAATCGCAGTTGTAAAAAAACAGAGATGTCAGATAAGTAAGATTACGGACCTTTTCTGGTTTTGACCAGAATTAAGGACCTTTTAAAGGACAAAAAATAATTTCCAAAAAAACCTAAGGATCTTTAAATACTTTTAATGCAAAACCTGGATAAGTCGATAAGAAAATTTTTTGTCAGCATATTATTTTTAATTTTTTAGCAGCACAATCGGTTGCCATTTTTTTTCACCTTTTTTTGGCCCTCTTTAAATAAATTTTTATAGAATAATATAGTCAAAATTTTCACAGAATAATATTCTGCCCGTTTTTATAAATATTGTGCTTTTCTTAATGATTTATTTGTAATGACAGATATACATAAATATAATTTTCACTTTTATTCAATATAATCATTAACTTATTTAGTAATTGCAAATGAAGGTCATTATGATAATTTATAGTCATTGGATAAGTTCAATCAGACTTTTTTAGAGGATACTTTTGGGGCCTAAAACCTAAACTTATATACTAGAATACATGGTAAACACTACTGACCTTGTTTTTCAATCAGTAAATATTTTCATTTTATGCTGCACACTACGCTATATCTAGAAAGCTTTTATACTTTCAGATTTTGGGTTCTACCAGAACTAAAACATCTGTTTATAATCTGAATTTCAAAAGAATGCGTTGTAATATGTTCAAAAATATATTATTATGGACATTCTTTACAAGAAAAGGAGACTAAATTATGTGAAACATTTCTTAAAGAAAAAGGAAAAACAAGCAAGTAAGAAAATTCATAGTATAAGACATAAATAGGCTGTAAAATATTTTTATAACAATCTGCTTCCTTTGATCTAAAAAAAAACTGAGAAATGATACATTTATACAGCATAAATGTAAAGAAATATTAACAATAAATGTTAAAAATATAGGACAAAGCAAATATTAAAACTGATTACTAAAAAACTTTTTACTTAAATTTCAACAAAGATTTTAATAATCTTCTCTCATAATGAAACATAAAATTAATTCTTTCCATATGGGGGGAGGTATGCACGAATATATACAATACTTAGATTTAAAAAAGTTAATTACCGCAACCATGTCCTCTATAGCAGCAGCAGATTTTGATCCAAGCATAACTAGACCCATAGCCACTCCAGCTGCTTCCCCAGTCACTGCATCATCTTGGTATAAGTTAAATTTTAACTGTTCATACACATCTTAATGTAAAAGAAAATATGAATTAAAAACAGCCTTTTAAAACTTAAGCTTCATTTAATTAAAGTATATATTGGAACTTAAAAATTGCTTATGGAAATATATGAAAAACTTTAATCTGAATAAACTGCTTATTTTCTACGCACTCTATTCATTCTTAATACAAGCACTTTAAAATTCATTGTACTCAGCACTAATTTTTGTAATGAAGATAAATTTGGAAAACAAGGACTTCAGAGTACGCACCTGTTACTTTATATTTGGGTGGAGAAAAGTTACAATAATCATTACCTTATATTGCTATAGAACTACAAATCACTTTTATAACACTATCATACCTACCAACTTCGACAAACAGAAAAATTTGGAATTTTCACGAAAAAATTCACGATTTCACATGCTAAAACCTGAAGCACGAATAGTCAGAAAATTCCAAACAAAGAATTCCATACATATTTTATAGGAAAAATTCGTTAATACACTAAACAAGACACACTTCATATGCATTTTCAAATGGGCAGCTACTCACTTAATAACATTGTTCTTTTCTAAAATTTAATAATTACCTGGCATAACAACAAATCTTACACAGCAGCTGCACCTTAAATGTCTTCTTAAATCTTAAAAATGGAAATAAAAAAATAATCCCTCCGACTGCTCAATTTGTGGGCCGAAATCGCTTAAAAAATTGTGCAATTTTTTTTTCATATTTTAAATCTATATATATTGGAGAATTGAAAAATGAACTTTATCTAGAAAATACTTTTTATATAGATTTTTATTATGAGAAACTAAAGTTGCCAGAAAAACCAATTTCAGATGTTATCACCAAAAAAAAATTTTTTTTTAAATAAATTTCAGTCGAATTACAGTTAATTTCTATTTATTGCATAATACAAAAAAGCGAAATGCATAAAATTTAAGAAAATATAAAGCACTGAGGGAAAAATACCTTAGAAATGCAGTTTAGTATGATAGAGTTCAAAACAGGGTTCAAGGCAAAGTCCAGCTTCACAGTTTTTGCACCAGATTCAATAAATCTAATTAATGATCACTCTAATTATTAATCTAATCAATAAATCTAATTAATAATTCAATAATTTAATTAAATAATCTAGATAATCGCTGAACATTGTCTAGCAGCCATTTCTGTAAGAAAAAAGCGGCAAAAAGTGAAGTTTGAGTGATAATACCACATGCCTTCAAATCCTGCAATTTAGTAGACAACAATATCTGTTGGCCAAAATGTAAACTAAATGTCTAATACTATATATAATTTATTTCAATGGTTAAACAGGCGAAAAATGGATGCGCTCCTCAATAAAGCAAGAAAAACACATGCCCACAGAAATCACGGGATGAGCAGATTTTGCTACATTTGAGTTGCCTGTGGAAATCGCGGGATGAGCAGCCAGAGGGTTAATATGTTTGCGCTTGAATAGCTCTCCGAATTTTGTATACAAAGAAAAACGTTTAACTGATTAAAATGTAACAAATATTATACTTCTAGAATTTTTAGTCCATAGGATCCCTATAACCCCCCTCCTTAATAAAACTTTCTTACATATAGCCCAAAAGTGAGATTGCTTTCCTAATTTTTTGTTTTAATTATGTTCAGAAGCAAATGCCTCAGACCAATATCTCAGAAACAAAAACTTGTAGCTACTTTCTTTGAACATCCTACATACATGAGTGGAACAGTAAAAAAAAAAAAAAAAAAAAAAAATAGATGAAAAGTTTGCAACCACTAGTTAACAAACAAAAAGATCAAAAGTCACTTGCATTTAACATGAAGATATTAAATTTAAACACTGATTTATTCCTTTGTGGAAGAAAATTTATAATACAGCAGTGATTTAAAAATGCCTTAATTGATCACCTCCATATTTTAAAATACACATAAATTCATATTTTTTTCAATAGATTAAATAAAATTGAAGTCTGTTTTAACTATTTTGATCAATAAATGCTCTTAAAGAGATTTTTGTTATGAATTTATGGCATTACGAGCTGGATATTTTGTTTCCAGTAATCTAATGTATTGGAAATTTTATAGCTATTCATAAAAATTTACTACAAGATATTTTATGTAATATTTTAACCCTTTAACTGTCGAGTTATTTTGATGATTTGGGTACACAAATTGTCAAATTTTTTTATTGGAAAAATCAAATGTTTAGTACAAAATAAAATAAACTTAAGTAGCTAAAATTGATATTTGAACTATATGGGTAAAATTTTTAAAGTTTTGTAGCCACTACGTATTTGCTTGAGGCGGCTGCTATTCAACATGGCAGTTGTAAAGTTCGCTTCTAGTGGAGCATTATTTTCTAAAAATGAAAGAAAATGAATTATTTTCTAAAAAAATAAATAAAAGTGAATATGTATTAGTAGTTCAATAATTCAGTCTTGTGTGGTACAACTGGAAACACTTTTCCAAGCACAAACCAACTCCACAATCACTACACCAGAACCGTGTTTCCTTCCTTATCTTTTTCCCATTTTTATCCTTTTTCAAACAACACACTTTGCACTGTCTTGTAGGCTCACGTTTCACAGGAGTAGGAGGAATACAGGAAATAAAATGTCGTTCAGTAAGACAGGCAGGGTTATCTATTGTAGGTGGTCTGCCAACATTCTTTTGTCCAGAAGCTGCATCATCATATTTATGTAAAAGCTCTTCTACAACTTGGATTCGAAATTCTAAAAATGTAATATGTTTCCCAAATACATTTTTATAGAGTAAATATGAGTTCCAAAGTACCTTGTCTAGTAAATGTAAAAATATCTTTTTATAACATTTTTTCTGACGTTTTCAGATTTTTGGATGAAAGGATATTTCCTAATCACAGCGATCTACACCACCCATAGTTAGACTGTAGTCAGAAACAATCTTCGGCTTGAGTATATCTTCATTTTTTTTTTTTTTTTTTTTTTTTTTGAGGCTGACCATGGAAATATCATGAATACACTGCACATCAGACACACATCTTTCATCTTCGGTTGAAGAATCTAAATCATCTATCTATATAACATTTCAAAGAACTGGACGCCATTTTACAACAAAAGATCCCGTGCACTTTAAACCAAAGAACTTATAACCTCTGACCTTTGAAATCTTCAGTAAAGTGCTGTCATCTATTGAATTGAGCGCACATTAACTTTTCCCGAGATACTGTCGGGTTTGACAAAGAAATGAAGCCGAAATAAACGTCTCCCGATATATATTCGAGTATAACAATACGATGCACTCAAAAAAAAAATTACCCTGAGTAATACTCGGGCGTGACATTTTCGAACACCAGTGCTGTACCCGAGATTAACTCGGGCATGACAGTTAAAACGTTAAACCTATTTATATGTTTACAAAATAATTTACATTCAGTCTAAAAATATTCATTTCTGTAATAGCACTCTCTCACTATGGCTTCACTTCTTGTAACCACTTCTACTTATAGAATACATTTTACACATTATACTGTGTTTTCCCAAAAACAAGATCCGACTTCATGTTATTTTTTGTTCCTAAAGACATGTTAAAGCTTATATTCAAGGCACATATACTTTTTAATGTATAACAATTAACATTTATCCATTTTCAACAATTACATTTATTCACATAGTCCAGAATATACATTTATTCATACAAAAAAAATTACATATATTCAAATATAGTAGTATAAATTTTTAACTCCATTTTTACTATACCACTACTTGGCCTATTCATAAATCTAGTAACATAGCTCTCCTTAAATTAGTACCTATTCTCATATTCTATAATGCATTAATAAGAAGTAGCAGTGATTTTATCCCCTGAATTCTTCATACAAACCATGACCTCTTGCAGGCTAGGCTTCACAAAATATCCACAAAAGTTTCTTTCAAACTTATTTTTGATGCAATCATCAATTTCCTTGCTCAAAATGCAATATCAAGAATCTAAAATTAGGCAAGTCATTCTTGGGAAAACCATTATTTCATCTATTTCTCTATAAGAATCATTATTTTATATATTCGTCTTGTGGCAAGGAAGTTCTGCATGTCTTTAATATCGTGATGGTTGGTTGACTAGACTTCTTCAGCTACCCAGCAAAATAAGCATTAGTTTTAAATTGATTGACTTCCTTATAGCTGCTAATAAGCATCAGACATTTTTGGTTTCAAGAACATAAATGTCGCCTAAAACACATTCAGTTTTATCTTTATTTTTCCATCTAGATGAAATAACAAAATATGGACAACCACCCTTCATTTTTGTAGACAGGAGTGTGGGAAAATATTAAGAGTGATGGACCATACGAAAGCAGCAAAAAATTGAAGGTTAAAGATTCAGAAAACATTTCTTTATTTCACATGAATATATTATATATGTCCACAACTAGGCAACAATTATGAAGATTCTAAACAATCATAGCACATCCATTCATTATAAAGAAAACACGTGTGTTGAGTTTGAACTCCGATTGTCATTTGGCAATAAGTCTGGCTGATGATCTTACCTAAGGATTATTTTGGGCTAGGGGTATCACAAGCATTCTAAAAATCATACTAAGGCTTATTTTACAATTACCGTATATACCCGCGTATAAGTCGAGAAATTTTGGACCAAAAAAAAAAAAAAAAGACTTCAAAGTGGGGGAGTCGACTTATACGTGGGGCCATAAAAAATTAAAAGAATCGGAAGTTCAAAAATTTCTTTATATAATGCAGTTGTTTTCTTCCCGCACTCAAATTGGACGACTTATCAAATAAGTCACTTACTTGAAGTAATTCATGACTTAAATTATGTGACGAAACTAATCAGAGTTTCATACTTTATACTAAGTTTCAATTAAACCAAAGAATTTTCGGCCCCCGAACAACCGATCAATAAAAAAGTTTCGCCAACACACCAAGAAAAGAGAAATGCAGATAGTTTTTATGTACGTATAAGTCTTTATAATAGTTATTGTTTTATTGTTCATTCATGAAATACTTTTGTTAACAGACGTACACGTCAAAATTTAAAAAAATAGCCCACGCAATAACTGAATAGTTTTGAATATTTCTTTTAACTTTTAAAAAGGGAAAACGCAGATAGATTTTACGTACGCAAATCTTTTCCGGAACAAATTCTAGAAGGTTACTATATACGATCATTTTCGAATCTGACCATGAATCAGACGTTGAAGGATTTTGATTTTGTTTATTTACCAAAGTATTTTTTATCGTATGTTTACTTTTTTTTCTCAGATGATTTTGAATAAATGTAGTACTTAAAAAAAAAAAAATTTCGAAGTTTCTCGATCGATTTCGGAAGTGGGGGGTCGACTTATACGCGGGTATATACGGTAGGTCTTTTTTCCAGTGAAACATAGTAACTAAAATAAATTATAATTTTACCAAATGATAATTCATAGACTAAAGAATATTGTAAGTACCTTGTCTGTGAGTACCCATTGCAGCTAATCCTAAGCCAAGACATCCTCCATGCCTAACAACTTCATTCGTTGCTTCTTTCAACTGATTTAATAAATAGTCAATAATAGCAGCACCATGATTTGCATGAATAAGTCCTAAAGCATATAACCCACCACCTTCTGTGTAGCCAGCAGATGAACCAGAATCTTTAGGAAGGTATGATGACATCAGATGCAAGGCTTCATTTTCATGGCCCTTATGAATCACACCTAAACTAGCTGTTGCACTAAATTTTGCCCAATTGGTTGCTCGGGCAAGCCATTCCAAATTGTCTCTCAAAAACTGATCACTAGTTGTGCCACAATGCATGAAAGAATTGGCAATAACAGTAGCTGTGTGACATACAGAATTTCTTACTGCTTCTTTAGTCTGCTTTAGAATGAGCATATCTGTATGGTTATTTCTAATGAGGAACTGTAAATTTAAGGCTATTGAAACTTCACCACCAAGAATAGTTGCTAATTTTTCTATTCTCTCTTGATGTTTTTTCTGATCTTCACTCTGAAATTAATAAATAATAATTACAACAAAGACACATATAAAAGAATTTTTTTTAAAAAAAATCCAAACTTTTTCCATTAACTAACCAATTTCAAATTAGATTATGACAAACTAAATCATTAAACAAACAAATAAATATTCTGCAAAATATGTACTACAACAATACAAAGAAAACAGAACAATTTACACATCTTTCACTTCAAATTTCTTGACTTGCTTCTGAGATATCAAAACAGTTTTACAATAACATATTTTATACTTAAAAAAGTTTTACAGTAATGTTTTTAATTAAGTTCTCTAGAAATTCTATACTTAGACTAGCTTTGCATTTTAGTAGTTTAAAATACTGTTTAGATGCATTTGTCAATTCAGTACCACTTAAAATTTTTGTGTTTTAGAATATTTTATTACTTTCGGGTATGTTTTATACTTATAAAATCTCATTAGTAAAATTCATAAAAGCTTACTAAATCTTCTAATTTAGGCTGTGGAATCGCTACTTCTTTAGGTGCTTCATCTGTTTCCATAGCTTCCCTAGAACCAAGCAAATTAACATTCTCAGAAAATTAAGTTGGCAAACGAAAATGTTTTAGACTAAATAAAATTAGTTTTACACAAACAATTATTCTCACCAAGGTAAAAAGCAAATAAACTATAAACACCTTTTCGTTTATACTAATGATGGAGCACACATTTATAAAAATGAATACTTAGGCAAATTACAAATCATATGTTCACTCATTTTTAAATGTCAAGAAGATAATTATTTTGTACTCAGATACATACAATGAGTAGTTTAAAACTTATTTTATTAATTATGGAATAATGTGTACTGTTCTGTTACCGGGACCGGATTCAGAATTGTATGCACATGTGTACATGTATGTGCATATATATGTATACACACATGTATTTGTACTTACATATATATATATATGCACACATGAACACATACATACATTTCTGAATCCAGGCCTGAAAGCAGAACAGTACCGAATAATGCAAATGTTTGTAAAAATTATTACAAATCATATTAATTAGATACATCATTATTTGTATCGACTAAGAGATATAATTAAAGATAAAATAAAGGTATAAATTAGGAAATATGTATATTGCTTTTAATTACTTAGTCATGCAACACACTGCTTTAAATTGAAAGAGGAAGATCTTTGGAAGGATCGAATAGCAATATCTCTAACAACTGACAATTTGCAAACCCATATGGATGATAAATGAAGGAATTTATACTTTTTGAAATAGCAATGGTTGCCAGGCTATGTGAACAACAAATGCTTGATAACAAAGATATTGTGACAAAAATAAATAAATAAATAAAAGATTTAAGACTTTTAACAGAAATCTGGCTACAAATAACCATATTAAAGCAATTTTTAGAATTTTAAAAAATTGCATATTCCAGGGTTCTTACACATTTCTGCACACGGAAATCACGTACATGTAAGGACCATTAATGAAACAATTAAGAACCTATGAGCAAATGGGAACTGAATAAATTCAATTGAAGATATTATCTGTGCCTGAATTTCCCTTTTGCAATACCATCCTAAAAATAAAATAGATTCCTAAGTAGTAAGCATTATTGCTAGACATGAATTAATTAACATAATTCAGAAGTGAAACAACAAAAATCAGCGTTATATTTACCAAATTTTCACAGGACTAGTTTCGATGGTTTTACCGAACCACCATCTTCAGCTGCAAAACCGCAAATGAACCAGATAGGAAATAATGATTAGATAAGATAAGGAAGCCTGAACAAGAATAAGCAAGTGGCGCCATCTGTTGGTAAAACCAGAACTAAAACATAATTTCTTTCAAAAGGCCGAAGGCAAATTTGGATTGGAATTAGGATCGTTAACTAGACACAGAAAGATTTTTATGAATGTGAAATGCCTCTAGAAAATCCAGTTCTCCAATGGAAGATGTTTTTTGAATAATTTTGGCAGCAGAAAAAACTTGAAAGTGTGATTTTCGGACCAACAATGTTGAGCAACAGAAGACTTCTGTGTTTCCTTTTTTCTAACATATGCCTCATGTTCCTTGACGCGAAATTTTAAGGCTCTCTTAGTTTGGCCAATGTAATTAAACCACACTGGCAAGGAATCCTATAAATACCCCAGGAATTCATATCCGGAATGGGGTCCTTGAGTCTGGAACTTGGAATTTTATTGATGGGAGAATAAACAACCCGAAAGTTAAATTTCTGCAAAATATGTGCAACTTTATAGCTAATTGATGGAAAGAAGGGAATGACAACAGAATTTTTATAATCTCCTAAAACAAGAGTGTGCCTTTTAGTGTGTTGAGATGAGAATTTTTAACTGCTTGATTAATAATGTTGGGTGGAAAGCCCCTGTCAATAGCTATTGCTTTTAAATAATTTAGTTCTTCATCAAGGGCTAGTTTGGAGGAGCAAACTTGAAGAGCACGGAAAACATAGGAATAAAATGAAGCTAACTTTTGTTTAGTCGGATGACATGATTTAAAGTGCGGTGGAAGGCAAACCGATGAAGGTTTACGGTAAACCGTAGTACTGAAGTTGGATGTGTTACGTGTGCGATCCAAAATGTCGAGAAACGGAAGAGAATTGCAAGTCTCAAGTTTAAAAGTGTAAGCTGAATAGCAGGATCAATAGGAATTCACTGTTGAAAGAACTGTTATTTAAATCATCTTTATTACCTTCAAACAGAGGAAAAGTATCGTCTTCACGTAGCGGAACCATGCCAGGAAGTTTAAAGTTTCAAACAATTTTTGATTCATAATAATGCATGTAGATATCAGCCAACATAGGACAACATAGTCAACATAGGACTGAGGGGGCTTCCCATGGCTAATCCCTCAGTTTGCTTGTAATATTTATTTTGGAAAACAAAATGTGTTTGTTTCAAACAGAGTTGAGTGAGAGAAATTAGCTCATCAATTTCGATGCAAGAGAAATGAAATTCGCGAAGTCTGGTTTCTAGACATCTTAATGCACCCTCCACTGGGACATTGGTGAATAATGATTTTACATCAAAAGAAACCATGAGTAAATTACTAGGAGAACATAATTGTTAATAAGTTTGAAAATAAAATAAACTTTATGCAATTTATCAAGTAGCATTAAATATTTTACACTTATAATTGTTGGTCGTATTTGAAAGAAGATAAGTGACATTTATGTTTTTATTAATTAACATAATTGTTAATAAGTTTGAAAATAAAATAAACTTTATGCAATTTATCAAGTAGCATTAAATATTTTACACTTATAATTGTTGGTCGTATTTGAAAGAAGATAAGTGGCATCTATGTTTTACTAAAAGTTACCTTTATGTTGATTTTTGTTATGTCTCATTTTGTCACATACTTGGTCAGTCTAGAGGTTTAATAAATAATCAGGTAGATTTTATGTCACACTGCATAGGTTAAAATGAGCATTAAATCATAATCAGCATGATTCATTACAAAAGACTGGCTGTTGTCACCGCTCCTGCTTGCCTAGAGTGAGACCTGCTGATCAGAACAAACCTGAAAGGCCTGATGTAGACACAGTTAGCAAGTTTTGAAAGTTAGTTGAGCTCTGTCTGACAATCAGCTACACCCCCTGGAACTCAGTTAATATACTTTAAGGTTCTATTAAGCCATTAAAGCACTACAGGTGATAAGTTGTTTTGCATTACTTTAAGTCTCACTAGATGGAAAGAATAAGTTTTACATTAATTTTTATATTTCTGTATTTTACTTTGTGACTACAGTAAATGTTAATGAAAGGCAATAGATCGCTTTAATATGCCGAGATAATTTTTAATGGTAAGCACTTAGTTATAAGTAATTAAATTAGGTATTAGATAACCTTAGTCATTATGGATTTACATGGCCACTATTAAATTTATTTTTTAATAATATTAGTTAAAAAAAAACCCTATTAATATCACAATCTAACAAAATTTCACAGTTTAAAATCCATGCAATTTATGACATTGATTTTTAAACAATATTAGGAAACACATTAAAAGCTACAAAACATTTATGCTTTGTAGCAACAAAACTCAACAAAATAAATTATGCATCTTTTTAATTTGAAGGCCTGCCCAGACATTTTAGCTAACTTATATCGATTTCCTTCTCCTTAAGCATCTTTTCTAACAATTAGAAATTTGTCTCAATACGCAAAACAATGTTCTCATTAGTTTCTTCATGTTTTATCTCCTAACTGCCAACCTCTCCACAATGTACTACTTATGAGTGTTTTCTTGATCTGGTAAAAGTTAAAATAGTCCAACCCACCCCCGACAAATGTGAAACAAATTATCGCTATGTCTGAAAGTAACTATAAATCAAAGGTTTAAAAAAAGCTTCTTATATTAAAAGAACTTCGAAAATAAAGGCATGTTCTTATGCTAACAAAATCAATAAGAACTCAAGGTGATGTAATTAAACAAGAAGAGTCAAACTAAAGGTCAAAGACTACACAATTTAATTTCAATTTAATCTGGTTCAGTAACTCTGTCATCATAATAAACTCAAATGTTGGCAGCGATAATGCAAAGACGAATAATTACAAATTATCAGAGTTGACAGGAACTAATGTAAGGAGCAAGTGGAGGTAAGAAACACACTCGTCTTACACTCCAAAAACCTCAGTTTAAAAACTGCCTAAGTGATTGCGTTCTAGTGAGGAAATAGAAATGGGAAATTACAGTAAAGGCTGAAATTGTACACAACTGGGTAATTTACATAATAAAATAATAATTGTACATATCTTTGAAGAATAATTTTCTTTCTCTTTATATATTTAGTTCCTTTCTTCAACACATTAACTTTTCACTTAAAACTTTTTGGATTTAATTAAAGATTTCTGTTATTTTAAAAGACTAAATGCATTTAGAATGTATGGAAAAAGCTGCTAATTTTATTTCTTTAGTAATACAAACATTTAGAAGAAATATGAAATACATATGGTAAGGTTCGGTCACAGAGTTGGTGTGGCATAATTTTTAGAATTTAGAGCAGGCATTGGCATCTAAAAAGACACCAGACAGCAGAATTTAGGATCCACAGAGATCGTCTTTGATTAAGGTGGCAAAATGCCTAGTGCCAGCCCTGTGTATGATGCATTAAGACATATTAGATGAATCTTTTGAATTGCCAGTTTTCAATTTCTTTATTAATAAAAAAATTTGCTTTTTATAATGCATGTCCATATGATAAGATTATAAGCATTTTCGATATTTCCCATGCTTGTGTCTAGTGAAAAGTAGAGAAAATAAAGGGAATATAAAAATTAAGAAAGTGATTCTAGTATCAGAAGTAAAACATTCAACTACAGTCAAAAGTCATTAATTCGGACCTCAAAGCTACAAGCTTTCTGCGCATGCATCAACGTATAATGCTTTCACGCATGAGCGTAACACTATTACGCATGCGCGTTTAATGTATAACAGACGGTATAAGCTAAGCTAAAATTATCTAATTATCTATTTCAGTTAATGTTGCAGATTGTGTTGTTCCTTAATCTTCAAATTGGA